TTTAATAAAAAAATATAGTTGCCTGTTTTTGAATAGCTATATTTGGGCTTTATCTATCATCTTTCAGACCCAGACCTGCCAAATATATTTGCCCTGATTGTATTTTCATTTTTGTTCCTTCATGGGTCTCGTATGTCAATGGTCCATAGCTTACAGTTCAGAAATGTCAAATGGAATCAATCAGAAAAATTCACTACGTCAAAGTCATAATGTCATGTATTTTAATGTAACAAAGTAATGTACTTAGTGAAGTATTTGTACATTTACCGATTAATACTTGTTTATTACTATTATTTCACCGGATTAAGAACATACTATTTGGAAAAGACATAATTCAAAAACGGTCCAACCTCAAAAAACTGGAAAACAATATAAAACATTTCTGCTCAACAAAACAAAAGCATAATGTCGAATCAAGTGGGAAATGATTTTTTCCGGTTAAAATGTATGTAGTTCAAAACAAACATATTTACAGAAGAGAAGGAGCGTTAAACCTGAAGATATTCAATGTTATCTCTGAGTTTGTGTCCTGTGTGTTTGCTGATCTTTTGCATCTGTGGCTTTAATTTTGTTAATCTTTTTCTAGCTTGGATTGAACCAAAGCTAAAGCTAAATATTGTTGAGTACTGTGGTCAGATGAAGGTTTTTGATGAATTATTGTGAAGTATGAGGCCATTGTACCGCTCTTAAAGTTGCCACTCTACAATGGGTACATGTCTCCCCTTTGTCTAATGAGATGGAGAGATGGTACAAAATTCACAGATGGAAAAATGTCCGAGGGCCACATGGAAATGCACTTTACCCAGGTCTGCTCACGGCCATGATGTTTTACTACTTCATTTACTAACTCATTGACTGCCAGCTGTTTTTGATGATTTCACTGATTCTCAAGACCCACAGAATATTATGTCCTAAGACCATGTGAAATATGAAAACAGATTCTGAAAGACTGGATTGTCTTCTTTCATCAGCAAAAATAAGTTTGTTTCTATCTATGTTTGTTGTCCCGTAATCCCCAGTCGAATAGAGGGCCTCAGACAAACATGTCAATCGCAGTCGAATTTGTTTCATTGGTATCATTTTTGCCTCCATAAGTAATAAATAATATGCAGATAGTTTTCCACATCTGCGTAATTAGAACGGCACTGATGATCAAAATCTGAAATCGCATCTTTTCAACCTAATCAGGTCGACAGTGTGAATCTGCTCATCCTTAAGAACATGTTTCTGCAGCGGAATGGAACAACACAAATTCCAGGAAGAGGAGGGATGTGAAAGCCATGAGTGCAGCGGCGGTTACCACAGTGTGCCCCAGATTTTGGTCTGACAGGCCATTTACCAAATGGTGATGTGCCTCGGGACGGAGGGTGGTCTTGTTATGGAAACACTGAGGAAGACGAGAGATGTGGGTAAAGCTGTATCCCAGGTCTCATGCAATCGTCTCGGTTTTCAACTAAGTCTCAAGAAGAAGAGCAATTAGGAGAAACGACATGTTCAGCAATCCACAAACAAAACCAGTGTTAATGCTATCACCTTTTTCCACAGTGTGAGTGGGTGACTGAGGTCTGACATCACCTTCAGCACTTTGGCTTTTCCCAGAAGGAACCAATTAGAAATGAAAGTGTAAAGGAGCAAATTGGGTGTGAAAGGCATAGTTTCCTTTACACGCACTGCACATGTTTGACCCTGTTTTAGATGCTTCCTGCTGTCATTTACACTGCCATGGTTATCTTTAGAGTGATTGCTGTATGTTTAAGTATAGATAGATAGATTGATAGAAGCTTTATTGATCACCGTATAGGAGAAATTCAGGTGTCAAGCAGCAGAAAAACACACACAAATGTATAAATTATAAACATTTCTAGCCAACTAACATTTCTTACCAACTACTTACTAATAGTAATAGTAACTAATAGTGCAAAAGAAGAGTTTATTCCCACTGTTTTTACTTTTCTCTTCAGTAATGTTCTTTCTAAAAAATGATGCACGGATGATTCCCCGTCTTGTCATTATTATCCTGCATAGAAGCACAGATAATGAACCACGGGGGTCATAGGTTAACACAGCATATAGCATGAAGTCCTCTTGAATCCAAAGAAAACTTTGTCAATGATAGAAACATATTTTCAGGTGATAGGAGCGGTGTAATTTGATCCCGAAAGCTTGCGCTGCACACTGGCCAGGACAAAATCCATAATGGGGGGGATTGTTAAGTGTCCTGCCCAGGGACACAATAAAAGCAGAAAGCAGATGTCTACCAGTTGGTAGATGCCTCTACCAACTGAGCTACTGTTGCCCCGACATATCAAATTGATGTACCAAAAAACAAATAATAATTAAAGCCGCAAGCGGCGTCGAACGGCTCTCGCCTCACCGCGCGCACTCCCCACGCCGCCCCGCACCACGCCGCCCCGCTCCAAGCGGATTTGCACCATCATGGGCTTCCTGTTTGTCAGAGGGCGGGGCCATGATAACATAATTTTCTTGTCCTGACTTGAGGAACATGTGTACCGAATTTCATGGCTCTACGACAAACTTGATCTCCAACACTCCCATAGGGGTATTATTTTGGCTGTTGTAGGTGGCGCTGTTCTGGCATTTTTTGAGTCCCATAAACACCACAATATCAAATTTTTTGCCAGGTCTGATTTTGGGGCAAAATTTTACAACTTTTCATGCATGTTCAGGGGGTCAAATTAAGGCTCAAAGTGCAGAATTTGACATATCTCGAGCAAAAACAATAGGCCCTTTCCCCGTTTGAGGCTCGGGCCTAATTAGCATAAATGCATCTAAGCAAAGGAAGGTTTCTCACCCTTTGCTTTGACTAATCCCTGAACGGCTGAGAGCTTACACAAACATACATGCATCTACTAAACTATTTTTACAGCACTGCGATTTGTCAGTCTAAAGTTGTTATAGTTGGCAGTGGAAAAAATGAAATTCGTAAAAGCAACATGAAGTGAAGTCAAACTGCTCTTTTTGGGTTTTGGGTTTCTTCCGAGCGCGGCTGAAATGGGAATCTTGTGCGGACATGTGTTTAAGCAACGCCGTGATTTGTGCGGCCCATTCGTTGGCAGATTCTGTGGTGCACAGGTGCGCCGCGGGGCACATTAGCTGCTGAGTGCATCTTTCTGTACGGACTTCTCTGGGGAGTCACGTATCTGAGGCGCTGACAGTTGCTACAAAACTGAGGTGGTTAATTCCTGCACTAAGTAAACATAGGACATCCTGCTGCATGTTTAATAAGCGGGAAATCACATGCATTATTCACATCGGCATCTTCTTTATTTCATGTCGTGGGGTTCAGGTCGCACAGTGAACTTTCTGAAAACCCATGCTATTTTTATCAACGTTACATAAAGTGCTCTAAGAGATTTTCCGCCGTGATATTTGTGATGGGGTCGGCTCAGAGCAGACAGCAAGCACAAGTTTCACAAAATGGTTTTAACAAGTGCAAGTTTGACATGACATACCAAGCTATTGTTTTGCTGTACAATAGTAAGGAATAATGGTTGGAAGAATTGGTATTAATAAATGAATATTTCAGAATTAACATGAATTGGCTTATGCTTATTTACCCATCCATCCATTTTCTTCCCCTTCAGTCAGAGCCTTCAGCGGGGGCTTCAGGTAAAGTGAGGTTCGGTGACTTACCCAAGGACACAATGACAGCAGACATCAGTGGGAGTAGGTGAAGAAGGTCACTAGTTGGGCCCAAACCCCCGACTGGCCCCATGCTTATTTATAGATCACTAATTTGTTTTGAGTGGCACTAATTGTTAGAGACAGATCAGCACAACTGTGAGTGGCAGCGACAGTCTGTAGCTTAGTCAACTTTGGCCGTGACTATAGAACCTGCAAACCTACTAACATATTTTTGTTAAAGTTTATCCTGTATAGCCAAATCTTAGCCTTTTGAAATCTTCCACTTCTCTGCATTGGGGATTTACTGGGGTTGACCTTTATACACTGACGAAGGAACCATAAACAACATTTGCTCTTCTAATCAGCTTATCTGTTTACATTAGGATGTGCTGGAAAAGGCAGGGCGACAGTAGCTCAGTTGGTAGAGCATTGGCCTTTGGGCCTGAAGGTCGTGGGTTCGAGCCCACCGTAAGACCTACTTCACGACTCCCACTGATGACTGCTGTCGTTGTGTCCTTGGGCAAGACACTTAACCCCACTTTGCCCAAAAGCCCCAACTGAAAGATCTCAGCTCCTGTGGACTCACCACCTGCAGGAGGATCAGTGAGGGGCTGGTGCCCTGTGTCCTGGGTGCAGCTCTGACTGCCACCCCCCCGACCCAGAAATGGATTAAGGGGAAGAAAATGGATGGATGGATGGAAAAGGCAGCAAGTCAATTGTTATATTTCTTGCTTTTTTCTACCTGAGATGTTGCTGCAGTACAGTGTTCATGGTTTAACACTGGTCCAGACCAGAGCAGAGAGGATTCATGGTCCCAACCAAGCGAATCAGGTGAAAATCGACTGGAGGAATGCTAACTTTAAAAAAAATGCTAATGAAGTATTTAGCATTTTAACTTGGACCAGAGCAGAGAAAATGGTCTGAACACAGCTGCTACACCTCTGCTGCTGCGACCTGAAGGACTGTTGCTGATTATTACCATTGTTAGCTTTTTAGAATGATCAATTTATTTGTTTTGTTTCTATGAATAGATGTGTTTTTGCTGCTACTAAACACCTGCATTTCTCCTACAGGGGATCAATAAAGTATCTATCTATCTAAACTCTGAACATTGTAAAGCGCTTTGGGTTCCTTGGTCTGTGAAGATGTGCCACATGACTGAAGATGACTAAATTATTTACGTACTCACTCTACAAGTTCAAGTTCACCAATCATCGTGCTTGAGCCCCAGACTTTATGAGGCTGTAGATCCCCTGGAATAAAAAGGATTTTCACTCATAGAACACAAGGTAAAGCTTCCTGCTCGTGTTCAGCTGACAAGGGCTCCACCAAGGTCTAACTCTGATGCAAGGGTCATGGAAAGCATCGTGGAGGTCATGGAAAGCGTCGTGGAGGTCATGGAAAGCGTTGTGGAGGTCATGGAAAGCGTTGTGGAGGTCATGGAAAGCGTTGTGGAGGTCATGGAAAGCATGGTGGGGGTCATGGAAAGCGTCATGGAGGTCATGGAAAGCGTTGTGGAGGTCATGGAAAGCATCGTGGAGGTCATGGAAAGCATCGTGGAGGTCATGGAAAGCGTCGTGGAGGTCATGGAAAGCATGGTGGGGGTCATGGAAAGCGTCATGGAGGTCATGGAAAGCGTTGTGGAGGTCATGGAAAGCATGGTGGAGGTCATGGAAAGCGTTGTGGAGGTCATGGAAAGCATGGTGGGGGTCATGGAAAGCGTCGTGGTGGTCATGGAAAGCATCGTGGAGGTCATGGAAAGCGTGGTGGTGGTCATGGAAAGCATCGTGGACGTCATGGAAAGCGTCGTGGTGGTCATGGAAAGCGTCGTGGAGGTCATGGAAAGCGTCGTGGTGGTCATGGAAAGCATCGTGGAGGTCATGGAAAGCGTCGTGGTGGTCATGGAAAGCATTGTGGAGGTCATGGAAAGCGTCGTGGTGGTCATGGAAAGCGTCGTGGAGGTCATGGAAAGCATCGTGGTGGTCATGGAAAGCGTCGTGGAGGTCATGGAAAGCATGGTAGGGGTCATGGAAAGCGTCGTGGAGGTCATGGAAAGCATGGTAGGGGTCATGGAAAGCGTTGTGGAGGTCATGGAAAGCATGGTAGGGGTCATGGAAAGCGTTGTGGAGGTCATGGAAAGCGTCGTGGAGGTTGCACCACTGCATGTGTGTGAAGGGCGACTAATGGACAACTGCACAATTCTATTTTCAATTCAATGTATTTTTGTATAGCCCTAAATCACAACAGTTTTTTATCTCGAAGGACTTAACAAAACTTTTGAATTTGCCCACTGCATCCAACCTCTTTTCAAACCTGTATTAGTCTGACAATTGTGTTTGAAATATAATCAAAGTAGCTTTTAATGGGAGGTCCTTTAGCCTTTTAGTCTCTCAGGTTGTTGTTGTTTTAACTTAACCCTCTAGGCGCCATGGTTGACGAACGTGGACAACATGCGGTACTGTTTAAAACGACTGTGTGTAGCAGGGTGTCAAAACTACCTGAGTTCTACGGTGGCTGAGTGGATAGCACTCTCGCTTCTCAGCAAGAAGGTCCTGGGTTCGAATCCCGGTCTGAACAGGGCCTTCCTGAGTGGAGTTTGCATGTTCTCCCCGTGTCTGCGTAGGTTTCCTCCGGGTGCTCCGGTTTCCCCTACCACTAAAAACATGCACAATAGGTATGAATGTGAATGAGAGAGTGAATGGATGGTGTTGGAGCTGATGGTCCAGTGTGTTCTGGACTCGCTTCTGTCATCACAGTGTGTGGAATGATTGGAACAATATCTGACTCTGAACATTGTAAAGTGCTTTGGGTCTGACCTTGGTCTGTAAAATGCGCTATATAAATAAACATTACTTACTTACTTACTACTTCTGCTTGTGTCCGAGTGAGTTGTGTCTGTCAATAAAAAAAAAAATACTGTATATATTTCATGAAAATCCACGATTGCCACCACCATAAGAAGTCCCATGCAGATTACATGAGTACATTTCATTCTACATAAACTTTGGGCCATCCTTTTAATTTCTCTATTTTACATAAAGCCGCTATCTCTTCTCACTTTTAAGTCATTAAAAAGATTATAAGTTAATAATGAAATATAGGTATAAATGTATGTATATTCTGGAACTGATAAGACCTTTTCATGGACCATCTGAAGACTCAGTAGACCCTTAACACATGACCTTTGTCCATTTATGACAGAATCTGTGACAAATTGAGCTATATGACATTCAAATATCGCACACACCACTGTTTATGAGACAAATATTAAACACAAATTACCTTCAGATTTCACACGGGACACATAACATGACCATTCCACTTGTGCAAATGCTCCCTTTTAGTCTGTAAGCAGTCAATCCGCCAGAGAACCTAACTCAATTTGTTCTCAATTCATTTATTTCTGCCATCACCTGCGTACCTTGCTCCCGTCAGTCGGACTCTGGCAGGTCGTGGGCAGAGGTTGTGGGTAGGATATTGGCCGATGTTTTGGACCAGATGGGCACCTCTTTCCGCAGTCACTTTCCATGAAGCCGGTCATCCATCTGCCTCCTCACGGAAGCCCACGCTTGTACTGAGCGGGGGGCATTTGACGGGATGGCCTGTGTGGGGGAATAGTCTGCGGAGGATCATTATTGCTATGGGAGAAGGTGCAGGAGCAGTCTCAGAGCAATCTCTGAGGCCAAATCAAACAGCCTGCCAAAATGACTATATTTCAGAGGCAGGTGGGGTTAGAATGCCAAAAGGGTTCATTAAAATGGAAATCTGAATAGCCGCAGTAAGTAAGCTTTATTTATATACCGCCTTTCACAGACCAGAGTCACAAAGCGGTTTACAATTGTTGTTTTTTGGGCATTTGTCCTCTCACTCCACACAGAGATGGGAGCGGGGTCGCCGAACAGGAGGCGCATGCCAGACCTATTGTACAAGGTTGTATTGTTGCAGTACAAAATAGGAGAAGAGAAGTCCTAATACTTAGATTTTTAATGTCTGCATCCATATGAGTGCTCTGATCATACATAGGAGGATTTTCTACTTCTGGGTGGATCAAGAAGACTAGTAGTTCTCCCAATAGTCAATCAATCTCGTTAAATAAGACCAGAGAGTTGGTAGAGCATTGGCCTTTGAGCCTGAAGGTCGTGGGTTCGAGTAATGTCTGCTGTTGCTGTGTCTTTGGGCAGACTAATAACCCCTGAAGCCAGGCAAAGTGGGCTGTAAAGTTTGGCACTTTACAGCCGCACCCACTGTGGCACCTGGTGTTCCCAGAGGTCTCCCATCACAGTACTAACCTAATCATTTTCAAAAACACACATCTTTTTTCCGTTCACATCTGTCCATATACGGTACATTGATCCCTGCAGGGGCACGATAAGCTAATGTTAGAAATTTTACATTCTAATGACTTCATTAATATCAAATTACAAGTTGTTATATTGTAGTGGGAAGGTCACTGCTGTAACTCCGTCAGCCGTCAAGGGCGCTCGCTAAGTTCTATAATCACTGTATATGCAATGGAACAGGCAAAATGTAATGACATGAGGCAAGACAAGGCTAGTTTTTTATGTAGCACAATTCATGCACAAGACAACTAAACGTGCTGAACAACACAAAGAAAAGTAAGTAAATATATATGAAATCCAGTTGTAAGCAGCTATACAGAATTGTTTTTAACCTGGATTTAAACATTGTCAGAGAAGAAGCCTGTCTCATATTTTCAGGAAGATTTTTCGAGATTTTTGCTGCATGAATCTGAAATGCAGCCTCCCCATGTTTCGTCCTGACTGGGACCGGCAGGAGGCCAGTCCCTGTGCTCCTCAGAGTCCCAGCAGGAGGCCAGTCCCTGTGCTCCTCAGAATAAGAGTTGGTTCAAATTATGTGAAATTGGCACTTTGGGGGTTATCTGTTCAGCCATTGTAGTTGTTTTAGAAAATCCAACTGGGACAGGTGACGAAAAGCAGAAACCATCTCATTGGTTTCGTCCCATCGGTCTGCTCCAAAACATTTTCAATTTATTTTTTGAGGCTACATCTGGTTAAGTCCATTCCTATTTGAAAACTTGACTATATTTGGGATTTAACCCTTGTATTATGTTAAGGGTCAATTTGACCAATTTCAGTTTTTGTGTTGATCAAAGTACTGGTTATCCTTCTTTTTCTTGCTGAAATTTGGTGACTTTTCCTCATCTAGGGTCATGAATGATGTGTAAAATCTGGACACTTTGATGTGTAGTGGAATGTCTGTGCAGAGTTTGTATACAAAGATGATGTTGCGGGTCATTTTGACCCAGACGCTTTAATGTGGGTAAATAGTTGTTCAGATCCAAAAAAATATGTCTCTTTGACATCGTATTTTGATTGCCTCTGAGACCCAGAGCCAGGTGTGTGAAGAGAGGGAACGTTCTCACACTTGTCCTTGTCACTGTTCTCATGTCATCTCTTTTGCCTAGCGTACATCGGACTGGCAACTGATTATATCCGTCGCCTTTGAGTTGCTGCCCCGCACACAGCGACAATGTGGCGAAAACGGGCAACTCCCAGTAGCAGGCCAGTCTCGGGAATAACAGCGCGTACATCGACAGCAACTGGCCTCAACTACAGTGTGTTTTCTGGCATAAACTGTAGAGGGATATAGCGTTGGAATTAAAAATGTATTGTATGTCACTTTTCTAAATATTTATATAACCTAAAACAAAGTTGTTATTGGTTTAACCTGTTTTCTTGACTGTTTTGAGTGCATTTATACAGTACGGGTCAAAATGACCCGCAACATAATCAATGTCATTTTTTTTCAACATAATACAAGGGTTAAGGACATTTAAAACTTTCCTCTGGATAAATCCTTGACTGCCTCTTTAAGCAGTGGCAGCAGTGAAAGCCACAGTGTAAGCGAATGTACAACAACATGTTAGCCTTTGTTCTACATCCTGACAAACACAAGGGCATTCCTCCACACTATACCCCAAGGCCTTCCTCTGCAGCCCCTGGTCGTTATCTCTCCTCTGTTAATTGCTCATTAAGAAGCTGAATGTGGTTTTAATCAGGCCGCAGTACAGTCAGGCTCAAGTTCATTAGAGCTGATGTCCGCACTTGAGCTGAGGGTGGCTGTCCGCACACAGAAACACTTTTTTTATTAAAGGCTCCCTCAAGACGATTTAGCCTGCTTTGTTTGTTTACTGCTTATTGCTGCAATGTTTGAGCTGTAATTGGACATTTTCTGTGCCGACATTGGCCAAGCGATGGGAGAAATCATACTGGAACAAAGAAGAAGCCATGCAAATACATTTCATGGAGGTCTTTCTTTTTCTGTTCCAAACATTAGCTGAGTTTGCATAAATGAGAACGAGTGCTAAGTGGCTACAAACACCAATTCAACTCAACTAAAACTCTTTCCATTGAGTTATGGTAAAGATTTTAATGATTTTTGATCTCTGCCCTTCTCAGACTGATCCAATGAGACACACATCCTGACTGACAATGTGAGTTTAGACCTTGCAAAGAACAGATCCTTCTCCAAATGTAGTTTTATGTCAAAGAACCATTTTTATAGTACCGGACTAGCCTGGTCTTACCAAACCACCGGATTTATATCAGTTCGTACGTAAGATCTGGATTTGCTCCATTGACTCCGTTAACAAGTGGGAGGGGTAGATTAAAACGATTGGATCTGAGTTTCAAGTATCTCGGGGTCTTGTTCACGAGTGAGGGAAGAATGGAGCGTGAGATTGACAGGCGGATCGGTGCAGCGTGCGCAGTTATGCGGTCGCTGTATCGGACCGTTGTGGTAAAGAGGGAGCTGAGCCGAAAGGCAAAGCTCTCGATTTACCGGTCAATCTTCGTTCCCTCCCTCACCTATGGTCATGAGCTTTGGGTAATGACCGAAAGAACGAGATCGCGGATACAAGCGGTCGAAATGAGCTTCCTCCGCAGAGTGGCTGGGCGCTCCCTTAGAGATGGGGTGAGGAGCTCAGTAATACGGGAGGAGCTCGGAGTAGAGCCGCTGCTTCTCCACGTCGAGAGGAACCAGTTGAGGTGGCTCGGGCATCTGTTCCGGATGCCTCCTGGACGCCTCCCTGGGGAGGTGTTCCGGGCACGCCCCACCGGGAGGAGGCCCCGCGGAAGACCCAGGACACGCTGGAGGGACTATGTCTCTCAGCTGGCCTGGGAACGCCTTGGGGTCCCCCCGGACGAGCTGGAGGAAGTGTGTGTGGATAGGGAAGTCTGGGCGTCTCTGCTTAGACTGCTGCCCCCGCGACCCGGCAACGGATAAAGCGGAAGAAAATGGATGGATGGATGGATGGATCTGAGTTTACCGTGACATATGTAATGAACCCGAGTGAGTGAGGCATTTAGCCTAGCTTTAGCATTTAGCCTAGCTTCAGCCATCTCTTTTGCCACTAACGGAGCCCGTGGGGAGTAGAGCCACAATCTTTGCAGCAATGACATTTGTTAAACATTCCTCTTGCTCCGGCTTCAATTTCTTGATATTTGGATTGAACCAGAACAGATAACTTTATTATTGCATTCGCCGCCATTGACAAACTACAACCAGCAAATTCAGCACAAACTCCCCCGCTCTCTGATTGGTCGGAGAGGATTAAACCGATGAAACTGCAGCCACTAGGGTCAGACCCAGACGTACATGTAGGAAATGATCATGGACCGGAGTTTACGAATGGATAAGACCAGACTAGTGCAGGTCTAGCCATAGTTTGTACAAAACTATACTTTCGTTAAAAAAATGAAATTAATTTGCACTTATTCTTCAAATTACGGATTGAATGCATTTGGTGAACTCTTCCAGTCACGAATAATCTACAAATGACGTCACGTCTCCCATGCAACAGCTCATGGACGAGATGTACTTATACAGGAAGCTCTGTGTTCTCCCACTGGGTTTTAGAGTTTTTCCTCTGATGCAGGACTCTGTTAGACTCTTAGTGGGTCCAACAAAAAGGACTGTGGTGATGATCCAGGACACTCAACATTTATCAACATTCATGGACATTGGTCTCTCCCTATGAACCAATACCATATACTCTCTGTGTTAAAGCTGCATTACCTCACTTTATCTTTGTATTCATTACAAAAATGCTATTCATGTCCATGTAGTGCATTGGGATATACATCCTTTTGAAGAAAAAGTAGCTCAGATTTGTGCTGGCGTGTCATTTTAATTTTGGTGAAACAAGGAAGAGAATTTGTTTTGGGACCAGATTCTGACCAATCACAGCGGACCACCGGCCCCCACTTTCTTGAGAAAAGCCACAGGTCTGTGGTTAGCACAGACAGCTGAGGTAAACAAGCGGCGGAGGCTAACCTGAAGCTTCCCTGTGTCTTTGTTACCGGTTTCTGCTTACTCAGCGAAACAGCCAAAAGAAAGTCTCGTTCCTCCGCACTTCCCGGTTCTATCATTCTATGGTCACGCCACGTTCAGATCTGCAAACCATATTGTGAGACGTGAGCTCCGTAAACAATTAGCACATGAGCACAGGCTGAGTGGGAGGGGGGTAGTGGGGGGTGGTAGCTCCGTGA